TAATATGCCATTATTAATCAAACATAAAATTAATTTGCCTGATTTCTATATTTCTATATTTCCCGAAACACAGACATGCCCCTTTATAAGACCCTATTTATAATAACGTACTAAATTCGCGTTAACTTAGATTAAAAATATCAAGTATTTAAAAGAAACGTGCTGCTTGAAGTTATCTTATACCTACGTGTACATGTAAGATAGCTCTTCACAGTCAAATGCTTCAAAAAGCCAAACTCCATTGCAGCCCCAGCCTGATATCTTAAGACATTCTGGATAATAGTTATATGAATTTTGTTTTTCAAAAATTAACATTACGCATTTTGAGAAATGAAAATCAAAGGTCCAATTTTTAAGGTCACTAGAGAGGGAATTTTATTATCTTTGAAATCACCATAAAATGAGCACTACATCTCAACGAGTGTAGAACTCAAGCCACTTTTTTCTAAAACAAGTTGAACAGAAAAAGCGATTTTCTTGACAAATTTGGATGTCTGCTCTCCAAAATCTAAGGGTCATGAAGCAGTGAAACTTGGCAGGAGTACTCCCCACCACTGGGACTTAATTCAATTCTGAGGGAGGCGTCGGGACGCGTCGGGATGCGTGCTCTGTTGATTTGACATGATGCGACCCAGGCCTACAAATTATCTGTTGCATAGAGGTCGGGTAAGGAATGGTCATGGCTTGTTTGTTGATTCATTTAAGGATCATTTCTCAACCCATTGTGCTTATATAAAGTCGAGTGGAAGGACAACTTTGCATGTCAAATTGGTAAGAATATGTAAAGAAGTGGTTTTATTCAATCAGAAAGCACTATTACAAATATTGTTTGTAAGGACTGAGGAAATAACAAAGACCTTAGTCACTATATTCAGCAGATAATCGTGCCAAGAGTGTTAGCCACTAAGCACATATACATAGATACATACATACATACATACATACAAACATACACATTATGAAGGTGTGTATGTACAAACTCCATGGATAACCTGATAATGACTAGTCTACTCAATAATTTCCCATCATTTTACGGGATCTGAAAATTCGTTATCGTGTTAACCAGAGTTCGCAACTGGTCTCTATCCAGTGCACACGGTTCGGCGTTGTTTATTTAAGAATGTCATACATATCTACATACATAGATTCCGGTGGTAGGGCAGAAGACTGTTATAATTACGGCATATCTAAGTACAGAAAGTTGGTACGCGATGATGGACCTGGATCCCCATAAATAGGAAGCAGAAATGCAGTGATATCAATGATTCAAGGTGCCATCACTTGCCAGTAAATTCCACGTGTTAGATCGACGGGGCAGAGAGCCTGATGTCACGGAGTATGCTGAGGAAGGCTGGCGCAGTGATATGTTACGTAACCGTTGGATGTGTATGGAGTTGCTTGCGGGAAGCGCCCATACCTTGCTTTTATCCTTCACACGCTTCGTTGTTGACTTTCACTGGGAGGGAGAGGCTCTTAATATGTCTCTCCTGTCTTTTCTTCGACCTCCATCTTCTGTTATGACACGACTTTCACTTTAATTTGTAGGGTTTGTGCTCTTGTTTTATCTCATTATACCTGTGTTTCCATCGCGTTTACGACTCAACTTGTTTTTTACGTCCATTCCAAATAATTATCGGTTCACCGGAGAGTTCATTTCCGAGACGAGCAGAACTTTCACTGGAGCAGTTCGTAAACGCACAGACATGATCATGCTCCGTAATAATTACAACGATTTAAAATGGATTCGTTTGTTGTTAACTACCACTAATACCGCTTGGCACGACGTTGTGATGCAGTTAAGAGGTTAGCACTCCTCATCTTTGTAGGCCACGACTTCGAAACTAGTCCAGAGGCAATATTTCCCGATAGATTTGTCGTGGTTTCCTTAAATTCTTCTATGGAAATTCTGGTGTTCTTTTGCGTGCTCGCGTATACTGTGATGACGATCCATTGTAAATATCATGTGAAGCTGAAGAAGCGTCGTTAAATACACTAAGAGGAATAAAACCTTTATAAAGGTAACAATGGCAAGTTAGCCTCTTCTTTACCCTAGGTATATAAAGCGACAAAGGTATGGGTTTTTTATTGCTAGTGGGGTGGGACTAAGTCCCTTGTACTGCGGCCACTTCTGGCCTATTGTACCAGCCCCAGATGATAGGTGAAGGTGATTGTGGAGCAACTGCTGTAATGAAGATTGGCAGGGGAAACAGAAGTATTCGGAGAAAACCTGCCCCTGAGACACTTCGTCCACCACAAATCCAACCTTTACTAGAATCGGAATCGAACCCGAGCCGTCGCGGTGGAACGCCAGCGACTAACCGCTTGAGCTATGGCGCGGGCCAGGTATGAGGGTTGGTGGGAGATTAGATATTATATGTCTGCATATTGCAGCTGCGAGCTCCGAAGTAGCCAATCGCATTTTGATGAAATATTTCATTGGATAATTCTTCCAATCGTTATCTGGTGAATATAATTTTGGTTCATATTAGTCCAATCATCTTCAGGGCAGAAAAATCCGCGAGCGAGGAACCAACGTGAGCAGGTGGCTGCAGTTTGCAATACGTTCCTCCGAAACGTCAGTTCACAGAAGTTCTACATAGTGCCACATCCCAGAAGAAGGCATTCCTCAAATATGTGTTTAATTATATGTATTTTATATGCAGTAATTTTCCGCATGCCGGTCACGGTAGACGAGCGGTCTAACGCATACACTGTCTTCGCTCGCTCGGAAGCCGGGATCGTGGGTTCGAATCCCACTCAGGGCATGGATGTTTGTATGCGTTTTTCTGTGTTTGTGTACAGGTAGAGGCCTTGCGACGAGCCCAAGGAGTCCTACCGTATGTCTAAGAGCTAGAAAAACCGAAGTGAACGGAGAAGTTCATGGAGGAAGGCCTAGGCCCACTGGGGCTGTAGTGTCAAGGAAAAGAAAAATTTCCTCATGACGAACATTAGCGACATATAAGAAAAGGAATAGTTTCTGAGTCTATGCATTTCATCATAGTCTAGTGTGATTAGCTTTGCAGCGTCAGACTGGCATGTGGACTACAGAAAAATCGAGGCCTATTGCGTATTAACCATACTAAATGACTCTTCCGAAAAACATTTATACTCCATTGAAGTAAACTTGGCCAGTCTTCTTTTTACGGAATGTGACTTCTTGAACAAAACTGCAACGAAGTGTGACAGTAAAATCCTTACTTTAGGAATGTGAATTAATTCATAAAGAATTCGGGCTGAATGCCGGGGTACGAGAGATAAGTGATGATTTAACGCTCGATTTCCAGTCAGTAAAGGAAAGGACAGCAAGTGATGTGAACTTTTACAATGTCAACGAGATTCCACTTTGTGCAGCAATTTTGACACGTGTCGCAGGAAAGGCTGAGGTAACGGTAAGTAAAATTGTCCCTGCATCTAAGAATCTAGACATGTAAATGGGTAGAAAAATATACATAAATTATTTTATGGGTTGTTTAAATAATCAAGGAAAACTACATATTTGTAATTGAGGCTCACAAATTACTTGCGATAATTACATCAGTGTTGCTTTCTTCGTCAGAAGATGTTTATTTTTCTCCTTACTTAACCCCTCACATTATATCTCTATGTCCCAGATGTTTAAGAGGAGTGGGTTTGAAGATATAATTCTTTAATAAATCTGTACTGTATAGGTAAATACATTGTGATAATCTATAATCGTGAGCGGTCATCTTCAAGCTGCAAAGTACCTTCAGTACTTATTCAGTATGAGGACTGAGTATATCCAGAGAGTCTATAGAGGAAGAAAGTACGAGTATTTAAAATTACCTCTAGAGCAGCGTTTCTCAACCGCCGGGCCGCGTCCCGGCACAAGCCCCTCTTCTTATAAAAAAAAATAATTTACCGGGTCGCGGTGTGACAAAGTTTTGATAACCACTGCTCTAGAGTTCTGGAAGCCTGAACATTGGTTCTACTGAATGGACAGTCCGTGACGGATGAGCCTAGAACTGACATCACTCAGCAAACATAAGAGAGAAAGACCACTTTGGTCATGCTACATCTCTTCTGTCCTGTCTGCATGTAATATAATCTGCACGCCATATTAAGGTCTTATTTTTTCCGAAACCTGACTGTTCACTTTCATATTGCACGTGTAGTTATGTCCATCTTTCCAGCTTCACTATTTCCTTTCTGCTCTTTCTACATTAGACCGAGTAGCAATATATTCCGTATGCTCAAGATACCAGAATTTATAATGATGATTCGTCTTTCCATGTTGTTTCATCATTCATTTTATAGAAGATCACTTGGAATAGCTAAATATATAGGGGCAAGCAGTAGCTTAGTTGGCTGAGGCACTATTCTACAAGCCGGAAGATCGCGGATTCAAGTCCCGATGAGGTCATTGGATTTTTGAATTGAGCTAATATTTCCAGCCGCATTATGGCCCTGGGGTCGACTCAGCTTCTAACAGAAATTAGTACCAGGAATATACTTGGAATATTCTTTGGGGGTAAAGGGAGGCCGGCGCTTAGGACTCACGACCTTGCCGCCATCTATGAGCCAATTGTCTAGAAAATGTGGGAGCCTCAACATCTCACAACCCTATGGACCTCCACGGCCTGTTGCAGGAATAGCTTTACCTTACCTAAATATGTATGGCAAGACATTAATAAAACGAATATTATGGAAATAAAGTGGTAGGATGCAGAGGATTCAGCTGGTTGAGGATACGGTCCAATGATGGGATTTTTAAAACAAAGTAATGGTCCTTAGGTTTTCATATGAGCACGAATTGAAAAACTGTAAACTCTTCAAGGAGTATATCGTACAGAGTAGTAAGTTACGTACTTATATCTCCCGTTCCAACTTGCCAGCATTCTTGCTTCTTTCTACTCCCTTCTTCTGTGTTGCAACGTACCCCATACTGATGATAAGGAAATTAGCCCCTCCCCTCTTTCCTGTCACCTTGATTTGTCAGCAAGAGACTACCGGACAAGATGGTTCAATGCAGGCACTTTGCATCTGGCCACGGCTCGGGCACAGCGCAAGGGTACATTCACTCCACGTGCATTGCAGTCTCCAGAGTGCTGACTTCGCTGTTGCTGCTCTTAGCATCCTTCAGACTACTTCCTTTGGAGGAATGCTACACATTGTGTGACAAGTGTTCAGTGAAGTTAACTTCCAGGTCGAGGGTTGAGTTAGCGTAATTCGGGTCACCAAGGCTAAAGTTTTGTTGTGGGGTAAGAGAAATACAACGCAACCTACTTCCATCGCTTCTGTGGCAAAGGCATCCGAGTGCATAGGTGAGTGTTATTAAAACACAACACAACTGCTGCAGCGCAATTTCGATGTATATGGACATATTTATTTTTGAGACAGCTACTTCCTTCCTTATGAAAATATTTCACGGCACACACCTTGTGTAACTTAGAATCCGGGTATTCACGCTACTTTGTTACAGAGATTTACGCATTTTAAAGTTTTCTGCAAGCATGCTTTATACTAAGCACTTCATTCTTTCCCATTTGTGACACAAAAATTTTCTCAGACAGATTCGTGAATACAGAGTAAAGTCTGGAAATACATGAAGTTATTCAGCGTAGAACACTTCATCTTCTTTCTAAGAAACAAAAATTAGAATACAAAAACAATTGCATACAGTAAAGAAATGCAGGCTCTCCCTGTAATGTAGGGGCCACGAGGCAACGTCGTTGGTTGAGGCACTATGCTGCAAGCAGGAAGGTAGCGCTTTCGATTCCCGATGAGTTCATTGTTATTTTACAATTGATCTACTCCATCCAACTGGACTAGGTAAATAATCTGGCAAATGAAAACACGTCGCCACCAGAGCTGTAGTGCGGCTGGAAGGGTTAGGTCAATTGATGAATCCAATGACCTGATCGGCTCAGCTTCTATCAGAAATGAGTACTAGGTAACTTTCTGGGGGTAAATGGTGACCGGCGCGTAAGGCTGATAATCTCATCGCCATCTGTGAACCAACTGTCTAGAAAATGTGAGAGCCTCGAAGTCTCACGACCCTGTGGGCCTTCAGAGCATGTTACAGAGATGGCTTTACCATTTTTTTAATGAAAACCTGTAATAAAATTGGAAATGAATTATTGTAATTTTGCTTGCGGAAAAATCGTGAGCTTTTCAAAGTCGCTTCCATGTAAGAAGGTGAACACTACAGTTATAAAGAAGTAGAATGGGAACCTTGCAGTCGATTTAAATAGGTAATCATCATAACTTCTCATTAACACCTTGTCACTTAGGAAATTGATGCGACATGAAACGCTTGGCTTCGGCTCGAAATGAATTACATCCTGCAAGACAAATAATCCCAGAAGTTCATACATTACCGCTAATATAACAATGTCACTGTTAACACGAACTACCTAGCACCAGAACTGAGTTACATAAGCGAATACGTAAAAGCAAATAGTGACCGGAGATTTTCGCTTTTAAGTGTTTCCCTTTTTGTTAGAATAAGAACAGTAGCAGGGCCTAAAGACTTTTCCCGTCATTGCTAGGCATCGATTTTTTAAAGAGTACATCATCATCATCATCATCATCATCATCATCAGTAATCTGTCAAGACGACAGGTCCACAGTCTCTTCCAAAACAATTCCTCCACTTAATGCGATCTAGAGCTTTCTCCTTCAAATGACAGTATCCTCTTCTGTCCCCAAGGTCATCCAGCATCTTCTTTCGTCTTTTTCCTCGTCTTCTTGTCACTTCTATCCGCCCATCTATCTTTCCTCCTATAACTTCTTTTAGAAGGCAGTTTCTGCGTAAAACATGACCAATCCAATTAGTAATTTAAATGTCAAACTCTTAGGAGACCCCACATCATTACGCAGTGCGTATTGAAGTCACAACTAGTTCATGATTCCGTCTCTATACATGGAAAAAGTCGAGATGAATAAACCGATTTTAATTAAGTCTGATATTGTAGAATATTATGATAAGTTGCGGAGCCATTTCAATTCTTGCTATACTGGACAATTCGAATAAAAACTTACGTGTGTCTCTATGCCCATCTATAACTTAACTCGTCGAATATTTATCACGGCGAATTAAGTTTGGAACAAACGTTGCAGAGGAAAATAGAGCTCATGGTTTGCCCCCAATATTCTTTCGGCAAAGCTCATAGTTTTTCTAGATTATTAAACAGAAGTGAAATGATATTCCGTCATTGTTACGTACATTTCTGAAAGTGTAATTTTGAAAAATCAACAACGATCTTGCGAACACGCTCGAAGATTACCGAAGTATATTATTTATTTTTAGCTCTCATGATTTAGCAATAACATGTTTGTTGTGTAATGTTGGAACGGCATATTTAAAATGCATTTATCACGCCTGTAGTTGAACCTATCAACTCCGTTTATAAGACAGTTCAACAGTCGACATTCATAAATTGAACAACCACATGCAACAGTTGAAGGAAGGCGCGAAACTATTTACTCTACTCTGAAATCCCCGAACTTATTAGAGTGGAATAATATTTTCTGCTTGACTATTCACGGGAAGAAAGACCGGGATTCTCTTCCCGGCAGGGAAGAAAAGATTTTCTTGGTCACCACTTCTAACCCAGTTTTAAGACACGCAATCTTGTATTAAATTGATTGACTTACCTGTGGATCGTCTACCCTATATGTCTCCCTGTTCGATGTTTATTAATTTATACATGTTCCATGTCTCTGATCCTTCTTAATTTATGCCACTTACCCTGTATGTCCTATAATTTTAATCAATGCTCTATGTCCCATTTCACCTATCCTTATTCATTTATGCCTCAAGCCATTCTTCCAGAACCTGACTCGTTAACCTACACTTCACGTCTGTCCGACTCTTATTCATTTTCCGTCTGTCTCATCCGCATTGATCTAATCACCCTAATAACAGAAGGTAACGATATGTTTTACGAAGTTTCTCACCAGGCTACACAACTTTCTGTCGGCCTTCAATTACCATATTTCCCTTAGGTCTCTTACGACTCTGTCCTCAAACCCTCTCACAATTTCTTAAGCTATATTTTTAATTGTGGTAGCCGGTATAGCTCAGTAGGTATAGAGACTGGTTATGAGCTGGGCCACAGAAGTATCGGAGTTCAAATCCCGGTAGAGTCAAGAATTTTTCTTCTTCACGTCGACCAGACCGGCTCTGTGGCCCACCCAGCCTCCTATTCAATGGGTACCGGGAGTTCTTTCCCAGGGGGGTAAGCGGCAGGGGAGTAAAACTGACTATTCACCTCCAACAAGTACCGAGGTCAAGAAAATTTGCTCATACGCCTTCAAGGAGTAGTGCATAATTAGTTAAGCACAAGGGACAACTTTGCTTTTTTTATTGCTATTGGGGTGGGACCAAGTCCCTTGTACTGCGGCCACTTCTGGCCTATTGTACCAGCCCCAGATGATAGGTGAGGGTGATTGTTGAGCAATTGGTGGAGTGAAGACTGGCAGGGAAACCGAAGTACTCGGAGAAAACCTGCCTCAGCGCCACTTTGTCCACAACAAATCCCACTTGACCAGACCCGGGATCGAACCCGGGCCGTCGCGGTGGGAAGCCAGCAACTAACCACTTGAGCTATGGCGAGGCCTACAACTGTATTTACTTTATGTTTTAATTGTGAGTCTGGAATTCCTGAAAGCCAATACTGGTGAAAGTCCAATAATGTCGCGATAGGAATCAGAATTTGCAGCACAATCTAAGCGACATCTTGTCAGCATGCGCCTGGTATTGGCAGTGGAGCGAGACCTCTGCAGAGTAAGGCAAAGTGTTTCGTATGGGGGTTGCATAACATTCCTACGTGCTTGGCACTTGTCATGTGTAGAGGATCTCCACGTGCAATACGAGATAAGGTGCGCAGTTATACCGCAGTATGCAGCACACTGCTTTTTAAAGGCAGCATTTCCCAACGCTTTCCACGTGGCAGCGCACTAAAATATGGTTCATATCACTCACTGATGAATTTTTTTACGTATGTGTGATAGATTCTCGGCTTATTTAAAACCCCTGTCTAATTACACGCCCATCATTAGTTACGAACTGCAAAGCTTACAGAAGAATTTTTCTAGAAAGACTGAGGAAACGCCCTAGAATCCCCGATCAGGAGAAACTAGGTTCGATCAAAATTCGAGAACGTGGTAGCATGGTGAAGAAGTATGAATCATAGCCACACAACGGAATCTTTCGGTGAATGTATGCAGACTTTGTGTAAATATGTATTTATGTACACACTCTGTCTGTTTGCATAAAACTATGTTTACAATAATCTTGAACCCTTATTTTATTCAAAGTTGTCCCTGTGCTTAACTAATTAAGCAATACACCATGAAGCGTATGGGGGAGTGGCTGTATAGATCCATATTTTCTTGACTTCGGCACTAGCTGGAGGTAAGTGGTCAGTTTCACGTCCCGGCCGCTTTACCTCCTGGGGAGACAGCCCTCGGTATCCACTGGATAGGAGGTTGGGTGGACCCAATAGCAGGTCTGGACGACGTGGAGAACAGAAAATTTTTGCCCTTATCGGGACTCGAACTAGGACACCTCGGTCGTCCAGCCCATAGCCAGTCGCTATATTAACTGCGCTATTTTAATTACATAATCCTTTACAGTTTGTAGAAACATTTAACGAGTTGCGGAATTTTAAAAATGACGAATATAGGAATGAGATATTGAGATTAAAAGGGCTACGATGAAAACGACTTCGTATGAGGAATAAAAATACAAAAAAAAAAAATGTATGAAACCTTCCTGGACGTAGCGACAACATTAACAGACAACAGGAGAAAGGCGCTAAGGTAGGTAGACCCACTATTTAAGCGAATCGAATTATATTGATGACAGTATGTGACAGTAGAACGGTAAGATTATACATTAAATTATAATTTTCGCCACAGAATAACATTAATTTGTAAGACGCAAATGTGATTTTTCGTTGTGCTTAATTAATTAATCACTATGCCATGAACACACATGAGGGAGTGGAATATAGCTCCAAGCAGTCTTAATCTCGTCTCTAAACGGGGGTGAGTGGATAGCTTCCTGCCCTTGTCACTTTACCCCTAGGAAATATTTCTCTCTGACTACTGGATAAGAGGCAGGGTAGGTTTGAAACCGATATGGAGCCCCTGGAGAAGGGCAAGTCTCTGCTCCTGATGGGAATCGAGAGCCGATTCTCCGGTTAGTCACTGTACTGACTCAGCTATTCCGACTCATCTATCATGAAATAGTAAAATTATTAATTTAAATTTTAGCAACTATAGCGGTAGTGCTATAGTCACTTGTAGTTACAAT